TTCAGTGTGATATTTTAGTTGGGTTCAGGCTGTCATTTTGTTGGGTTTAAGGGGTATTTTTGTTCAGGGTGTTATTTTATTGGGTTTGGGGGGTATTTTTATGGATTTAGGGGGAATTTTTTGGGGTTAGGGGACTATTTTTGTTGGCTTTAGGCCATATATTTTTAGGGTATTTCTGCTGAGTTTAGGGGTTATCTTTGTTGGGTATAGGGTGTAATTTTCTTGGGTTTAGGGGGGTATTTTTTTGGCTTTAAAGTGTATTTTTGTGGGGTTTAGGGTGTATTTTTGAGGATATTTTTGTTGGGTTTGGGGGTATTTTGGGGGACATTTTTCTTGGGTTTAAGGCTATTTTTGGTGGATATTTTTGTTGGGTTTAGGGGGTATTTTTGGGAATATCTTTGTTGGCTTTAGGATGTATTTTTGGGATATTTTTGCTGGGTTTAGGGGGTATTTTGGTGAATATTTTTCTTGTGTTTAGGGTGTATTTTTGAGGATATTTTTGTTGGGTTTAGGGGGTATTTTTGGGATATTTTTGTCGGGTATTTTGGGCTGTTTAGGGGGTGTTTTTGTTGCCTTTTTTCAAGCCCAATAAATCTGTCTCCCCTTCCAACTGTGCTGGTTTTGTTTCTCCTTTCCCCCTTGGCTGTTGGGAGTCCCCTGCTGGTGACTGCACAAGGAGTGGGGGGATGGTGGAATCCACACCCCTGGAATTGTTCCCATTGGAAAAGCCCCCTGGGATCGAGTCCAACCAACCCTCAGCCCTGCCAAGGCCACCCCAAATCCACATCCCCAGGGATTTGAAACCCCCTCCCTGTTCCAGGGGGTTTTTCTGCCCCAATCCCCAATTTTTTCCACTTTTCTAAATTTAATTCCACCCCTTCATTTTATAAATTTATTTATAATTAATATAATTCATATATAGTATATATAGTATAATTAATAATTTTATGGTTAATATAATTTTATAATTAATATATTCTAATTTATAATATATTTATAATTTATAATTAACATAAAATTTTCTCATTCATATAATTCAATATAATTAATTTTATAATTCATGTAACTTATATAATTCATAATTTTATCTAATTCAAATATATAAAATATCATTTCCCCCCCCAATTATATAAATATATTTTTCCCCCAATCTCCAATCTAATCTGGGAGTGTCCAGGCTGCTGAGCCCTTACTTGGTTGTTTAAATGCACTTGAAAATCAGATTATTATGACTAGAACATGATTTAGAAAAAAAGATTTTGAATGAGTTTTTTCGCTCCCAACTCACCTGTGAAGGTTTCACAAAATCCCCCTTTCAAAATAATTCACTGCTGCTTCCACACCTCAATTAATTCCATAAAAAAGAGAGAAATGAATGGAAAATATGGCCCTGTGGCTGTTGAAAAAAAAAAACTCTCCAGTATTTCCCAGGGAAATACATCTTTTTTAGCTTTGGGAAATAGAGAAACGACTTTTTAAATAAAGTTCTAAATAAATAACTTGAGGGATTTTTTTTTTTGAGGGTTAATAAGAAATGGATTTAGTGATAATCTTGGATAGACTTGAAATATTTCTTAGCACATTTTTTAGAATTTGTCTTTTACTATTTTGTCTTTTAGTTATAGTACTTCATGTTTTTGCATTTCATTTTTAGGATTTTAAAGTGTTTTTAGTATTTATTTTTAAATATTTCTCAGTATTTTTTAGTATTTTAAGTAATTTTTAGTATTTCTCTTTGGTATTTAATGTTAGTATTTTTTTTAGTATTTATTTTTAGTATTTTTAGCATTTAATTTTTGCCTTTTTTAGGATCTATTTTTCCAGTATGTTTCAGGATTTACTTTTAATATTTATTTTCCCCGGTATTTTTCTTTTCATTACTTCTTTTTCCCATTTCTGGGACTTTATTTTTTAGCATTTTTATTCATTTCTCAGCATTTCTCTTTTACTATTTCTTCCTTAGGGTTTCGTTTTGAAGGTTTATTTTGTCATTTTTCGTATTTTTAGCATCTCCTTTTTAAATAAGGAATTACAATTTTTTAATTCATGCATTAAAATTAACGAATTCATTTAATTTAAATAATTTGTAATGAATGAAAACCTGAAATCAGGAAGGCCGAGATTTGGTGGGGGTGGGGTGGGCCCATCAAAGGTTGCTGCTCTTCATTCCTGCTGGGATTGGAGGCAGGACAGGCTTGGAATGGGAGCCCTGCAGGGGGAGGATGTGAGGGATGGCCTTGCTGGATTTTCTCCCGAGGTTCTCACCAGCCCCTGCAGGAATGGGAAAAAGAAGGGAACAATCACCCAGAGGGATTTTTATATTTCCAGTGAAAAGGCAGGAGTTTACCCCGAATTCCCAGTTGGAAAAGCCGGAGGGTTTGGAGGGTGAATCTCCAGCTTGTGCAGTGGCTGCTCCGCCTCATCCAGAGGGGGAGGAACTTCCTGGAGAAGCAATCACTGGTTTTAGGGTTCCTTTGGAATGCTGGAAGTGTCCAAAGGCCCTGAGGGCTGGAGCCGGGCTGGAGCCAGGCTGGGACAGCTGGGGGGGTTCACCTGGAGAAGAGAAGGATCCAGGGAGACCTGAGAGCCCCTTGCAGGGCCTGAAGGGGCTCCAGGAGAGCTGGAGAGGGACTGGGGACAAGGGATGGAGGGACAGGACACAGGGAATGGCTTCCCAGTGCCAGAGGGCAGGGATGGATGGGAGATTGGGAAGGGTGGGGAGGGGCTGGAATGGATTTTCCAGAGAAGCTGTGGCTGCCCCTGGATCCCTGGGAGTGTCCAAGACCGGGATGGAGCACCCTGGGAGAGTGGGAGGTGTCCCTGCCCACGGTAGGAGGTGGAATTTTAAGGTCCCTTCCCACCCAACCCACCCTGTGCTCCTGTGATTCCATGAAAACAGCTCAAACCTTTCAACCTGCCCCTCGAATTCCCAGCTCCTCTTGGATCCTGGTGCTCAGCTTCGGGTTCCTCCGGGAGGTGGGTGCTGGGACCCTGTGGATTGTCAGCGGCAGGACCAACTTCCCTGGAGCTGGGAGGGGGAAATGATGGCTGGGTCAAAGCAGGAAATGATTCCTGGCTTCAAGAGGACAATAAAAAAGCAGCTGCAGCAGGTCTGGCAGCATTTACAACTCGTTCAGGAAGGAGAAATCCATCCCAGTGCTTGGCTCCACAAAACCTTCTCCCAACTCTCTCCCGATTTCCAGCCCACGCCACGAGCACAGCCCTGGATTTTCATCTCCTGCTGTCAATTAATCCCTCACCCAGGCAGCTGCAGGGAACGGCTTCACCCCACAGCACCTGCTCCAGAATTCCAGCTCCTGTGGCTCAGCCACTGCGGGAAATGATTCCCTGAGGGGGAGTAAAGCGGGAATGGCCTCGGAAAGAAGCACTTTTGTGGCCTCAAGCAGCCATTTACCACCCAGCAGCCCAAACACCTCGGGGCTGTCCTGTCTCCTGCACAAAAAAAAGCTACTCCAACCAAAATCTGAGGGGTCTGCTGGTGATCACAACCCCGTGGGAATTTGGTCCCAGAAAACCTTCCCCCTTCCATCCACACATCACCAGGTTGCTCCAAGAAAAAGGAAGGAAAAGGCCTCAACAGTGGATTCCTCTGGCGATGCTTTAGACATTTCCCAGTGTGTCTGGTGTGGGTGAGAGGAAGCACTTGGTAGATTTAGGGAGCTGGGAAGGAATTCCAGGATTATCCCTTCCCAAAAGGAATTCCATCCCATCCTTTCAAGGAGCAGTTTGTGCCAATCCTGTGATTCCAAAGTTGTGGGGCAAGGGAAGTCCAAGTGTTTCAGGAATTCCAATTAGGGGTTAAGAACCCACCCCTCCTTCATCCTTGTGCCAGGGGAGCCGTAAATTAATCTGGATAATGTGGCTTTAGTCCTTCCCTGGAAGCCCCAGCGCAGAGAACCAAGGACGATGGAATTTTGCAAACGCCCCCAGAAAAAAGAGCCAGATTAGCAGTTTGTGTTTGTTTTTGTGCCATTAATGGTGCTCAAAGCAAACACTGCCGAAGTCAAAACACCCCCAGCGTGTGGGGGAGTGGAAAGACAGATCTGTTCCCACATGCCAAGGGCAGGACCTTTCAAAATTCCCACTTAAGTTTTGATTTCTGGGCCTTGCCTGGATGCAAAATCCCTGAGCAATTTACGGTTCCTCTGGGGAGCTCCCTCTGTTCCCCATCAGCACCTTCCCTTTGCGCCACAAATCCACAAAAACCTTTTTGGCAGCTTGGTCAGCGTGGAAAAGGAATTTTGGACAGCAAGACCAGCTGAGAATTCCCCTCAAAAGATAAAGGGGGGGGGAAGCTTAGAAAGATCCTCAGCGTTTCTTGTTGTTCTCATTTCATGTGAAAAGCGGCCTAATGGGATTTTAGGAGGTTATTTAACAGTGATTTTTACAAGGTTTTTCTACTCTGTATCTTAAATTTTCCCTTTCTTTAGTTCCTTCTTCTTATTAATAGCTGTAAATAAAGCTCCCCTACTGCAAGGCCTCGAGCTGTTATGGTTTCGCTGTCGAGCTGGTGTTTGTTCTGCTGGAAAGTCACATCTTAGAAACAAAAATAATGTTCAAAAATGGGTAAAAGAAAAGGGAATCTCCCTTCTGCAAAGAAGTCATGCCTGACAGGTAAGAAAAGACTCAAAAATCACTTTAATTACAGGCTCTTTTAGCAAGATTTAGGTGAAATCAAGAGATTAATCACTGACTAAAGGCCTGATGTGGCTGTAACTTCAACCCAAGGCCTTATTTATCACCCTCAGACGCCCAGACAGCTCCTGAGAGCCCTCAGAGCAAACTCTGATGTTCCATGAGGCAAAGAGCCATCAAAATGACTTTAATTCCACCTGCACACAGCCAGAGGCAGGGAATAAAAGAGGCCAGCTTGTCAGGAATTTGGATTTGGGCAGGTAAATTTATGGAGATAACGCTGCAGGGTTGCAATAAATAAAGTAAGTTGGATTCTTGTGTGACACCCCTTCCAAATTTCTAACCCAGGCTCAGGAAAAAAGGAATGTTTTTCGGTTTGGGGATTAAAATACGTCGTGAGGAGATTAATCTTAATATTTATAGATACACAAGAAAAAGCTTGGAGTGGTTTAGGAACTTTTTTTTTTGTCATATATTATTTTTGGCATCATTTCTTACAGATGAAATAGAATTTTGATTTACTCTTAATAGAATTCTCTGTGATTTCTGGTCCCAGCCACCTCTTTGCACGAGAGGGAAGAAATTCCAACTGGCTGAAAAAATAATAAAAAAAAAGAAATAACCTTTTTGTTTGGCAAAACCTGACCTGTGGCTTCATTTAATTCCTCACCCAGCAGAGTGCAAGAAAAAGAAGGAGGGGGGTGTGGATGAGGCAAAACTGCCACTGAAGAAATATTGAAGTCATTAAAATCTTCCTAATTACATGAAAAGATTGCCTGGACACAAACACAAAAAAAAAAATCTACTTTGCACTGGTAGTTCTTTTCAGTCACAGAAATCAGGATAAAAAGCCTCAATACAGCCACTTTAAGGTGTTGCTTATATAGTTCCTACAATTAAAATCCAGTCCAACAGCTAAAAAAAATAATCTTCAATTCAAGCAAGACTTTGCAGAAACTCGTAGCTGATCATATTGGCATTTGTATGTGCTAAAAATATAGATATTCTTTTATCTGTGTAATTCATTAATTTTTTTTTTTTAATTACAACCTACTTTTTAGAGTTCTTGTCTTGTTTTGCCTCAGGTTTCCTGCCAGGAACAAAGTTTTACTCTGTTCCAGCTCCACCAAACATGGCAAGGACTGACCTTCCTCTTGTATTTCCCAGTATAATTTGAAATTAAACTCACTTTAATGAACTTTCTTCTCTCCATTGGTCCAAAATGTCACTTCCCAGGGGGAGAATTTTTAGGTCCTTTCCCACCCAAACCATTTTTTTGCTTTATTTGTTTGGGTTGGGAATCCCAATGGTTTGGGTGGGAAGGGACCTTACAGATGATCCAGTGACACCTTCCACAAGCCCAGGTTGTTCCAAGTCCTGTCCAATCCAGCCTTGGACACTTCCAGGGATGGGGCAGCCACAGCTGGATCCACGAGTGGAAATACTCTGAAGTGGTCAATTGTGAGAGTTAATTTACTAATTGGAGACGCTTTGTAGTGACACCACTGAATTTACTAAGCAGAGATACAGGGAAATATAAAATATATTAGATATATAACTAAGAACCACATAAGCCAACACACGACCTCCCTCCAAATTATCTGGATGCTGCTGCCAATACTGCTACAAATAATTCCATATCCAAAGGAAGACCCATCAAACCCTGTGGGAGTTTTCCAAGGTGAAAACCCTCTCTCTGATGGGAATTCAAAATTCATTAATTCTGTAAAAAAAAAAAAAAAAATACAGACAAAAAGCTTCTGGACTGGGCTACCTGACCTTCCAGGTATCTCTGCTAATTCCTGCATTCCAGGGTTTTCTCTGGGAATTTCAGCTATTTGATAACACTCCTATTTCTGGATTTCCCTCCGGGCCAGGGCTTTGGAAATGCTGATTGAGGGTGACAGGATTTCCTCTCACCTGCCCAAGTTTAGCTCCAAAATCAGCTCCCAAGGAATGAGAGCTGTGGAATTCAGGCAGACTGGGAGGAACAGCTGGTGCTTCAACACCAAATCGAGCCCCAAAATTCCTCCAGCAGGTTTATTTTTTCTTTCTTTTGATTTCTCAGACTTAAATTTCCAGCCTCTGGCACTGGAATTGCTTGAAATGTCCACACTTGGGGGGCCTTTTCATGGCAGGTAGGTAAAACAAGGGAGGAAAAATTCAGATTAGGGAGGTTTTTGCACCAGGGGAAGGCTCAAAACTATAGAGATTTAGGGAGTTTGAACCTGTTTTTGCAGGGCTGTGACTACAAGGAAAAAAAGGGAGGGAGGCAGTTGGGATGGGACTTAAAAAAATAATTAAAAAGAAATTAAAAATGAAGAAATAAAATGAGGGAGCGGACTCAGCTTTCAGAAATTCTGTTGAACCAGAGAAATCCACTGAGAGGATCCACTGCAGCAAATACAAAGCGGGACCTTCCACCACTAATTACTGGGAGTGCTAAAAATAAAAAAAAACCACACCAGAGACTGAGCTGCCAGGAAAAAATGGGTCTTTTTCTTCTCTCTCAGAGAAGACACTTCCAATAATTTCAGGGGTTTGGACAAGTTCCTCGTGGCTGGCTCTGCCTGATCCATTCTCAGGGCACATCTGCTGCCCTCCCAAGCCAAAAGCCGAGGGGTTGGGGGATTCATTTGGCCTTTCAAAGTGGTGGGAATGGGATTTGCAATCCCTGAGGGGTTCCAGTCATTCAGAGCAGTGGGGAAGAAACCTCGAGCAGGTATTTGTCGCTTTATTCCCAGGAATTTGGTGGAGGTCCCTTTGTGTTACCTGGGAAGCAGCTGGATGTGGGGGGGAGGTGCCATCCCTGACAGGGCCTGCTGTGCTGCACAAAAACGTCTTCTGAGAGAAGCTTCTTCCTGGAAAAAGAAGTGAGCCCGACTTTATTCAGCAATCCAACAGTGGATGTGGTGATTTAACTGGCTGTGCCAGCCCCTTTCATCTGCTAGAATTCCAGAGCACGTGCATTTATAGATTTCTGGGGAAGTGGCAGAGTTGTATTATAATTATTATTGTATTATAATTAACGAGGTGCTGGGTGTGATTCACTGATCAAATTTTGGGCTGAGGTCTCGCTGCCTTTGAATAACGAAGATCTTCATCTCCAGTGAAGCTTTCTGGGCTTCACAGGAGTCAAAAGTGTCTCCCCAAAGGAGTCAAAAAGTCTCTGCAAGTCCCTGCCAGGAGAGGGGAGCTGAGGGGGGTCGGGCTCTGCTGCCAGGGAACAGGGACAGGAGGAGAGGGAACAGCCTCAAGCTGTGCCAGGGGAGGTTGAGATTGGATATTAGGAACAATTTCTTCCTAGGAAGGGTTGTCCAGCATAGGAACAGGTTGCTCAGGGCAGGGGTGGAGTCCCCCTCCCTGGAAGTGTTCAGGAAATCCTTGGATGTGGCACCTGAGGAGGTGGTTTAGTGGTGATCACGGTGGTGGTTGGACTGGGCGATCCTGGAGGTCTTTCCCAACCTCAGCAATTCTGGGATTCTCAGAGAACAGAGCAGGAAGAAAAACCTGCAGAGAAGCCCTTGTGATGCCTCCAAACTTCCCAGGGCTGATTCCAGCAGCAAGGACTGGGCACAGAAGAGTTGGACTCTGCTGCATCCACTCCCTGCACCCTCTCCCTGCTCCAGCAGTGCAGAAAAGCTGCCCCGCCAAATTCATGTCAGGCCACTCCAGGGAGGAATTAATTCCCTTCAGCACATTTTTATTCATTTAAAATGACTCTGCCCAGTGAACACATCGAGCTGTCAGCAGATTGGAACACGGTGGGGCTGGGTTTGAAGGGGGTGGTGATGGATGTGCTGCAGGACAATGGGATTCCTCAGGTCACACAAACCCAGCACCACTAGTGCTTCAAAAAGAATCTAAATTGCAGGGCAGAGGAATTAAATCCTGCCCTGTTATCAGCTGAGAGCCACTGATACTTATCAATTCACAAACCAAGTCAATGAATAAATCGAGTCAATGAATCAATTGACTCAACTGAATTAATTACTCATGTTTGTAACAGAGGTGAATGCTCACATTGTGACTGGCCTTGTGATACCCTTGTGATCGAATCACAAGGAGTAATCTGCAAGGAATCAGATCCCTGAGCAGCAGATCCTGCTTCTTCTTTTGCTCTTGGAGAGCTCCCATGAGTAACTCACATTAATTTCTTCACAGGTTTTATTTTCCAGCTCTTCAGGACGTGAGTTGAACGTGGGCACTGCAGTGACAGCACATTATTTGGGTGCCAAGAAACAGCCTCAGTGTAAGAGTTCAGCCAAAATTTTACTTTAAAGGAAAATGAATAGAAACTACACTTGTGTTCTTGTCTGACTCACCTGCCTCATTCCCAAGGGCCTGGAGGGACAGGACACAGGGAATGGCTTCCCAGTGCCAGAGGGAATGGATAGATGGAATATTGAGAAGGAATTGCTGGCTGGGAGGGTGGGAGGGGCTGGACTGGATTTGCCAGAGAAGCTGTGGCTGCCCCTGGATCCCTGGGAGTGTCCAAGGCCAGGCTGGAGCACCCTGGGATAGTGGGAGGTGCCAGGGTTGGAACTGGATGATCTTTAAGTTCCTTTCCAACCTAAAGCATTCCACAATTCTGTGATTCCCATCAATCTGCCTTTAACTCTGGGAACTGGGAAATACTGTTGGAATGACAGAGCGACAGAGAACAGGAGCCATTTTTCTCTGGAGAGCAAGAGGTTTGATTACAACTGCTCATTTCTGTCCAAGGATCCAGCAAATATTCCTTACCACAGAGCCTGGGGGTGCAGCCATCAAGTCCAAGAAGCCCCTGGGATATTTTTCGGGGGGAGAGTCCACGAAGTCACTGACAGATAAAGATCGAGTCACTCCACTGGGGGACAATCTGGGCTCTGGGAAGAGCTGAGTTCTTGAGCCTGGGGTGGAAAAGACACGAAGATTCACCCCCCAGAAAAAGACACAAAAAATATTGTGAACACCACTTTGCTTCCAGCAAACAGAAAATAAAAAAAACAAACAGTCATTTTCCATGCCTGGAAGTGTCCAAGGCCCAGGTTGGACAGGGCTTGGAGCAATCTGGGATAGTGGGAGGTGTCCCTGCCCATGGCAGGGTTGGGAATAAGATGGGATTTAAGGTCCTTGCACCTCAGTCATGTCCTCTAAACTAATCACAGCCTAAATAATTAGAAGTTTTAAGTTTCTAAGAGCTCTCAAAATGTCATGGGGAGCTGGAACAGGGCACCTTTTCACCTGTTAGTGAACATCTTTCAAGATCTCCTGGGTTTGGACACCTGGAGATGCCAACAGGGATTTCAGGCAACCTCTGGCAAACCCTGTTTGCCCCATGGCAGGGGGTGGCACTGGATGGGCTTTAAAGTCCTTTCCATCCCAAATCAATCCATGATTTGACCAAAGCACTGGATGAAAGCTGATAATGCAAGTCCAAAGCATGATCAGCTCTGAAAGGAATTCTGCTGTTAAAAGTGTTTTTTTTTTTTTAAATAAGAACTCATCTGTTTTCTCCCAGTATTTTCACAGAAGCTCCTGCACAGCAGTTCATTACAAAGAGAATTAACAACCCATCATAATCTCCCCCCAACCAATCTTCTACCATCTGACTAAAAATGTCCCCATCAGAGACAACCTCAGGGCAAGTTTTGCAGCATAAATTATCTCCCATGGTCCATGAGAGCAGAGGATGTTCAGAAATGGGGTACTTCAACTTACTGAAACACCTCTAAATGAAGCCCTAAGTGAATTTAATGGTGTGCAGTAAATTGAAAAGTTACTTTATGAACAGCAGAATTACCCAGATCTCGAACTGTTAATGGGGTTTCTGTAAGTGGTAACAATTCAAAGCTGCTGAGGAAGACAAAGTCCTTTAAAAGAACTTCAGATTAAAAAAAAAATATATACTAAAAATCATCACGATTATTTAAAAATATTTCCTCTTTTATACTCCCCCTTCTTTCCTGATGATCTATTTAAGGTTTTGTTGCTTTCAGGACAAAAGCGTCTCCTGAGTTTTATAAGACAAAAAACCCTGACAATATTATAATAAATAAGGCAAGGGAAATCCTTCCCACTTTAAACAAACATGGAAGTTCTGGAAATGGATGTAAATCCATTCAGGATTCAGATCCCAGACAGGGATCAACCCATTGCAGGAGGTTCCAGGTCCCACAGGTCGCATCATTAACAAATTTCCATTCTTTTAATGACACATTAATGAACATTGTGCTGGTAAAACCAGGAGGAAAATGCTCCCAGACATGGCACCTGCTCTGCTTCTGGTGGCCTGCATGTCATCAAAGACTGCAGGTTGCTCCAAGCCCAGGAACATCTTCATAAGGGAACTCAGCTCCGTGAATGCCTCATCCAAATCATCTGCAGGGAGGGAAAGGAGGCAAAATGAAACCCAACCCTTCAGCAGGACAAAGACACAAATCACAGAAATACATTCTTAACTTACCCAGCTTTGGGAGGAAAAAAAACCAACCCTTCATCTCCACAAACAGCACATCCAAGAAAACAATCTGAAATTCATCTCAGGGGCTGCACTCACCTAAATACTTTCCTTCTGCCATCACTGGTTTATTTTCTTAATGCCATGTTTAAATTGTAAGCTCTGTGTGCCCTTGCCAATAAGCACAAATCCCGGGGTTTATAGCACAGGGATCACCAAAAATCACCTCCACAAAAGGGCAGGCCCGGAATGAACTTCTCCCTCCCAGAAATTCACCTGCAGGGATTGACTCACCCGTGTTGACGACGGCATCGAAGTACCCCGGGGCATCCTGGCTGATTTTGAGGTACATGTCCACTCTGGAAACTGCCTCCTCAATCTCTGGCCTGCTGAACAACCCCGTCCTCCTCAGACGTTCCTCGTAGCTCTCCTTGTCCCTGGGCACCGCCAGGATATACCTGGGTTTAAAGTGGGTGCATTTCAGGCTCCTCACACCCTGGAAAATGAGGCAGAGAAACACAAATGGTTCCTCAGCCGGTGGCAGAGCCCACGGCGATACAAAACTCTGCATAATTCCCGCGCGATCCAGAAACTTCCACGCCCCAGGAATTTTAGAGGGAGTAGCTTTGGCAACGCCCAGTAAGAGTTCCGGTCGCCGGGTGAGCCCCCTCATGAATAAACATGAGGTGCCATTAAGTCCTTCCTCCTAAATTACTCGGTAACGCATATCCTTTGCGCTCAAGTCTCCCTAACTGTGGATGCTCAGCTTAGGATCCTGTGTTGGCACCGCAGTGTCCTTTATTTTTATCCCGATTATTTTTTTTTTCCAGGCCCTCGTTTTGGAATCTCAAATAGTCTCTCATTTTTTGGGGGGATCTCGAATTAGGTGGAGCTTAATCCGTGCAAAGAACCTGGAAGGCACCGCCTTTCCTTTTGTGTCACCTCAACCCCCCAGCTCGTAAATGTCGATCTAAGAGAATGAGAAGTACCTAATTAGAAAATTAGCTAAAAACTTGTGCTTTTGGGGACTCCAAGAGAGAGAGTTTTTGACACTTTGTGACCCAGAATCTCAGAGATTCTGCCATCTGTGCAAGTGCACCTGACAAACCTCGGGGAGGGCGGGTGAAAAACCTCCAGGGATTTAAACTCCACCCCTGCCCCGGGCAACCCCTTCCAAGGCTTGACTCTCCTTTCCATGAGGAAATTTTCCCTGATATCCAACCTTTCCTCTGGGAGAAGAGGCTGATCCCCATGAAAATGGATCCTCACCTCAATTTCCAAGTGGACACAGGTGCCAAGCCCCTCCCTGGCGATAGATTCCACGGTGTCTCTTCCCAATCCGTAGCGGTGGCCGCTGCATTTATAGGTGGCCAGGAACTTCCCCTGGAATTCCAAACAAGCCAGGATAATGCCAAGGGAAACACTTCGAGGGAAACAACTTCCTTAAACAACAAATCATCACCCTGGGCTTTGCTTTCTCTCCCTAAGAAGCTTCCCTGCGGTTTCAATCACCAATAACGAGGCCAAGGAGAGCCCAAAATTTGCAGAGATCCTGGTTTGCCCCTTGGCCATGGATAATAAGACACCAATATCCTGAAAACAAGGTCCCAGAATTCCCTGGATTTTCATGGATGCTGCACACACATAAGGCAAGGGCCGCCCTTCTTTTGATATTGCATCAAACCACGGGAATGTGGAAATTATGGATGGGAAAAAATGGAATATTCCAAAGGAAAGGAAGGACTGGCCAAGACATTTCCAAGGTAAAACCTCCCAGCTCTGGTTCCCACAGGATCAACATGTACACCATACAGAGACCCAAAATTCACACAGAAAATAAAATCAATCAGCCCTGGACAGGGCTGATTGATTTTATTTTCTGTGTGAATTTTGGGAGCAGGGAATGGGCTCCAAGGATAACGAGGCAGGTACTTACTGCATTTACCAGCTCCTCAAATGCCTCTGGGGAGATGAAATAATAATCCAGCCGGTTTTCTTCCCCAAAATAAGGTCTCCTGGTGGTGTGGCAGGGGCTGGAAGATACAGGGGAGAGTAAAGAAATAACCTGTTTTCACTCACAGGAGAAGCTGTGGAACGGGAAGGGGGTGGATGGGGGGAAGGAGGATCCCATAAATCATCTTATTTTTAAGAGGTGAAGAAGAAAAATGAGAAATAGAGGTGCAAATCAAGCCGTTAATGCTGCAGATTTGAAAGATGAACCCATAAATATGACACCAAAAAAAAAAAAAGTTTCAATGTAACGTTATATTTGGGTTATAAATCCCTTCCCAGCCCAGCAAGGCCTGAACTGGAAATGATGAATCCAATTTTTTTGCCCAGCTTTTGAGGATATAATTTGGCTTTGTTTTTTTTTTTAAACACTTTTATGTATTACAATCCTTTTTTTTTAAAAAGCAAGGCCATGTTTACATCCCAACTGCCAGAGTGTCTTGTATGAAATACAATTTTAATGAGGGCAGTGTTTGAAATTGAGAAGTGCAAGCCATAAAATTGCTCAAATATCTCCACGGAATAATTAAAACACCACTTTGCTTTATGGTTGCAATTTTCTGCTCTGTTAAGATTCTGTCTCTCTCCTTCTTTTTTTTTTATTTTATTTATTTTTTATTCTTTTTTCTCCCCTCATGCATGAAAGTTTTAGGAAATAAACCACGTAAGTAGAAAGGCATAAAAAAAGGTATTTTTACAGTCACAGCAAATCTTTTCTGAAGAGGTTAAAAATGACTGGATAAATCAGGGCAATAAAAAGAAATTGGAAATATGAAAGAGAGGGAATATCCCAGGAATAGAGACCAGTGAGTGCTTGGAAAATTTCCACTGGCATCCAATTAATTTGTAATTTTCCAACAGAAAAAAACACAGGAGTTGCTTTAAAGAAAGGCAAAAAAAAAAAAAAAAAAGAGAGATTTTTACAATCACAGAACCTCTTTATTTAAGAGGTTAAAAATGACTGGATAAATTAGGGCAATAAGAAGAAATTGGGATTATGGAAGAGGGAGAATATCCCAGGAACAGAGACCAGTGAGTGGATGAAAAATTTCAACTGGCATCCAATTCATCAGTTATTTCCGAAATAACCAAGGAAAAAAACCACAGAAGTTGCTTTAAAGAAAAGAAGAAAAGAGATATTTTTACAGTCACAGAAAATTTTTTATTAAGAGGATAAAAATGAGTGGATAAAATTAGGGCAATAAAAAGAAGTTGGGAATATGGAAGAGAGGGAATATCCCAGGAATAGAAACCTGTTACAGGCCCTCCGAAGAGTCAGGAACTGGGAAGAATGGAATGGGTGGACAAGAGGAACATCTCACACCACCTCATTTTAGGCCTCAAGTTACCACAATCATCAATTTTTCAGCCTTAGGCATCAAGGCTGAAATTCCCTTGGGAAAGGAGAGTTTCCAGGGAGCCCAAGGATCGCAATCCAGGGGGAATTAGTGTTCCCAAGAGGTGGGGGAGTCCGGAAGGTGCTTTTTTCTTTAATTTTTCCCTCCATTTCCCGGATTTTGGGCGCAGCCTGCACGTGCCTTTTGATGTTTTATTTGCAGGTGCCTCACCAAAATCTTGGGAAATGCACCCGGATCCCTCAGCCTGAGGGGCCCCAGGGAGAAAAGCTCAGTAAAAGGAGCCCTAAACCCCACCTTTTTATTTAATTTTAAAATTTTTTTGTCTGCTGTTCACAGCTTTGAAAACACCAGGATAATTTGAACACTTTTTATGTTTTTTTTCCCACAGGAAATATTTGATTATTTCAGGCAATCAGGCCTCTCGGGAAGAGCTAAAACGCAGCACAACGAGCATTTATTGTCGGGTTTTAACTTGTTTATAGGGAAAAAAAAAAAAAAAAAAAAAAAAGCCAGGGGGAATTCTTTGGACTTTCGGGAGCAAAACTCACCCGTATCTGAAGAGATTGTTGAGCTGCCTGCAGATCCTGTGGGTGAGTTCCCTCTTGCCGCAGCACACGGGGCCCACCAGCACCAGCAGGGGGTAGGAGGCCTCGAGACCCGGCAAAGTGCTCCGAGGAAAGGAAAAGAAGGCAAATAATCCATTTTTATCACCCGAAAACAGCTCCGGGGGAAGGTTTGGAGCCTTTATTTTGTCGCCTCCCCCCTCCGGTGGTGACAAAGTGACCCTCTCTTTGCCGCCTCCCCTCACGGCCTCAGGGCCGGTTGATGGGCTCTAAGTATAAAAATAACGCCAAAAAACCCCACACGGCCGGATTTAAGACCCCCCCAAGTGCCTTTTGCCACAGGGATAATGTTATTTTGTGTCATTTCTTGGGATTTACAGCTTTTTTTTTTTTTTTTTCTAAAGGTCCCGAGGTTTGTTGCAGGAGGAGGATGTTTTAATGATCAGCACGACGAGCCTGGATGGAACCTGGATTTGATCCTTTCCCCCTTTCCTGGGTGTGACTTTGCCACAGGAAGGTGGCGATTTATAAAGAATTCTTCGGTTCAATTTATAATTTATCAAGAATTCTTGGGTTCAACCCCTCAGATCCTTAAAGAAGGTGGTGATTTATCAAGAATTCTTCGGTTCAACCCCTCAGATCCTTAAGGATTGTGGTGATTTACAAAGAATTCTTCGGTTCAAAAATTAATTTATTCGTGAATAATTAATGAATTAATTTAAAGGGGAAGAAAAACTACCCACGTGCCCATTTAATATGATTTACCTGAAAAGAGAGTTTATTTCTTTCACCCTTCTCCTTACAAATACTGTAATGAGAACCATCCAACACAAGCATGGAGGGAAAAGATTCCAAAATAAAAATGGCTTTACTCCTGTTTTAGGATCAGCAAACCAGCTCTGTTATCTACCAGATTATATGGATATAAGGGATATTATACTACACATACTATGGATATAATATATAGAGGTATAATTAGCACAAATACGTATATTAAATATGGATATAATTGGCACAAAAAGCTTATTATAACAATACATTCCAGATGCTGGAGAAGGTAAAAAACACATTTTAAAGGTCCTTTATAAAAGAGCCATTTAAAAGACGGGAATTGCAGGAAACAAGGTTGGAAACAATAAAAGGGATCAAGATGTAGCACAAAGAGTCTTATTCTTGCTCCAGGACATTCCAGGACAGAACCCTCCTCTGTGACATGGAATCTCGGGATGGTTTGGGATGGAAGGGACCTTATGGATAATCCAGTTCCATGGGCAGGGACACCTTCCCTGAACTTCCTTTTGTACAAACTTGAAAAAGTCACCTCGTGAATACAAAAGACGCCACAAACTCACACTAAAAGAAAAAAAAAAAAAAAAAAAAAAAAAAAAAAAAAGAGGCGATTTGTTCCCAGCGGGAAGGGAAAGGCGTCAGCACAACAGGAAGGGGACTTTTCACAGCTCTTGAGCCCCCAGGGATTTTTTTTCCAAGTGCCTCTGGTGGGAATTTTGCAGCTCTCGTTGCCCGGGGCAAAGCAAAGCAGCAGATTGTTTGAGAGCCGCGGAGCTGCGAACGATCCGTGAACGAGGAACTTTCGTCTCGTAATCGTTTTGGAGCGAATCAGGTTTGCCCGATTTCCAGGCTGCCACCGGAATCCCACAGGATTCCCCCTTCCCTCCTTTCTCCTGATTCGTTTAGAGGTGGGAGAGGACCAGGAAAACGCTCCTCTAAAAACTACCAACATATTCAGCTTTACTTGAGTGCCACCCTCAGGAGCAGCTGGGAAATGAGGAGAACTCACCTGTGCAGGACTCTCTGGGGCTGCATCATGTGGTAGGTCACTTGAGTCCTGTGATCTTGTGCAGCAACAACTTCTGGAGGAGGGTCATAGTTATTCACAGCAGCAACCTGTTCCCACAGTTTAGGAGGGGAGAGGAAAGGAAAGAAGAGCAGTGATGGAATTGCTTCCAGCTGCAATTTTGCTTCCAGCTGCAATTTTGCTTCCAAGGTCCCTGGGAATAACGATGGATTTGTGTTTGTGGGACTCACAGCCTTTGGTGCTGGGAGTTCTGTGCCACATAAACCTTTCCAGGAGAGTTTTAGGCAGAATTTGATGGATGGATGGATGGATGGATGGATGGGAGCCAGAGATAACTCACCAGCTTTAATATATTCAACCTTTTTCCTGGGAAGAAAACAGGATGCCACACAGGATGTGAAGTGATTTGGCTCAGGTTTTAATTATCCATTAATTTGCATCCTCTCAGTGCACTGGTTGGGAGATGCCCAAACTCAAATCCTCAGGGATTGGAGCCACTCAGAAAAGGAACAGGATACGGGCATTAAGGAAAGGACAAAACAGACATTTCTGTCTCTCCTGGGAGGAAGGGCCACTCAAACTCCAAGGATTCCCTCCAGCCCTTCTGTTGGAAGGAGTTGTGTATTTTGGGGTGTTATTTAATGTTACACACTCAGAAATAGGGTAAAGAACTTCATGTGAAGCATCAAACACCAAACAGCTGCAAAATACCTTCTTAAATCCTGATGGCAGAACCTTATGAAGCTCAGTAAGGACAAGGGGAAGGTTTTGCACCTGGGAAAACAAAATCTAGGAATGCAACACAGGCTGGGATCAACCTGGAAGGGACCTGGGATACAAAAACTACCAACCCAAACCACCCTGGATTTTATGACAATCTGATCTGAATTTCTGATCTGCTCCATTTCTGACCTAAACTAAAACGTTTCTGAAAATCCACTTGGTGTCAGAGAGACAGAAGAGCCGGTGCCTCCAAATTCCAGAGGATTCACGGGGCTGAGATGTCCTAAAATAACCTGAGGGGAGGATTTCCTGGAATAACTTTTATCACCCAGAAGGGCTGGTCTAAACCAGCCACCCAGACCTAATTTTACAGTGCCCAGAGAAGGAAAAGTGTTGTCAGTGTATGAAAAATTATCTTAGGAGGGAAACAGGTTGGCAGTTCAGGGAAAGAGCAAGGTTAACATCTCAAAGGTGGGGTAAATGACACTCTGGGGTCACATCCCTTCTGTGGGTTCGTGCTAGAAAATGCCTGGCATTAAAACAAGATTAAACTTTCCTATTTATGCAGCTCAAGTTGGGAGTGACAAATGTCCTGAAAGGATCATTTTTAAAGGATAGTTGCTTGAAACACAACCCCAGCTGGCAGCAGATGATCCTAAAAAAGCTCCAGCCTGGCTTGGGCCCAAATACAACAAGCAGGAACCAAACTACAGTTCAGGCACCACAACAAGTCAAGGTTTCTATTCCAACAGTTGCTGTGAGCAAACTAAGCAGGTTTTTTTTTTGGAGGGGGAGGAGATTTTACAGATTTTATATTATTTATTTAAATAAAAAAATCTAGAATCACATGATGTATTTGCCCACCTTTTCTTCCACTGCAATCTTCTTGAGGTCGAGTTCCGTGAGCTGGAGCAGCGTGAAAATCGCCGAGAGCCAATAATCTGCCTTTTCCTGAGGGACAGAGTTCCTGATCTGACACAAAACACTCCACTTTCCCCATCCAAAGTTTAATTCCAATCATCTGAAATTAAACTGGCCTTTAATACATCCCAGATTTTTAGCCTGGGTGTCAATACCAAGCATAAATTGACCCACCGTGTCCCCACCACCAGCACGAGCTCAGCTGCTGCTGCTGCGAGACCTGAGTTGTTCAAAAAGGCTGAAACTGCAAAGGGCAAAAGATGGGAATTCAAAAATCCAAAGGAACGTGGGATCATTTAGGAGAAGGACATCTAAGCAAAAGAAGCCTTCAAATTATGGAGGCCCAGGAGCTGCCTATTTCAGGTATTTATTTCCTGCTCATTGTGTGTCACAGCAGACCATTTTCATGAAAACCAATAAAAAACTGGCAATTGCAGGGAAAAATTAAACTCTGAACATTTTTTTTTCCTCTTCCTGCCATTGGAAATCTGTAAAACTCACCCAAAAATTTGGAAGTCACGACTCGGGATAAAATCACCTTTGAGCAGTCGGGACAAACTGCAAATGCCAAATCAAAGGGTTTCTGATGCTTTGCAAATGATGCTGTTGATAAAATGAATATTTGATTCCTCAGCTGAGGAAATTACTTCCAAAGGCAGAAACTGAGGCTACAAAATGCTGGTGGGTGTGATCCAAACCACCAGCTCCAGATCTTAATTTTTGGCTTCCCCTTTGGCTCTTCCTTACCTGTAGAGGGTTTTTTAAAAGATTCAGGACTCTGAGAAGGGGCAGGTCTTCAATCCACTTGAGTTCAGGCAGCTCAGCAACCTGAGGAAGGACAGAAACAGAGAGTTAAATCAGCAGCAACACCCCCCATGATGAGAAGGCCTTAAAACATGATTCTGAGTGGAATCTTGTCAAGTAATAATTTCTTATTACATTCTCAGGATCCAAGTTCCAAGAACACCATTCAAAGAGGCAAATTTTGATGAGGTAAAATTAGTAGCATTTATGTGCTGGAAACTTTCTGAGGCCCTGGAAGTGGTGTTATTAATGCTAATAACAAGCTTATTATTATAAGGTGGTTTCCTGCCTGGTGCAACTGATGTGCCTCTAAATGTCAACCTGAACACCAGGAGAGAAACAGAATCCCCAGTGCCTTGAATTAAATCCTGGAAATGTGTCTTGCAAATGTGTGTGATGGGGGGGAAATGACAGAAAATCTTCCATTGCTGGTTGGTGGTTTTATTTCTGATTTGCTCAGATTTTCTTTCCACGTGGAGATGTGTCTTTGATATCGGAGTGTTTGTGGTGGTAATTTAATTAAAAATAGAGGAGCAGTATCAAAAGTATTCTGTTCATATGGGTCAGCATTCAAAATCCCTGTGAGTTGGATGGTACTTTGGTACTTCCAGGGAAAACTCTGCTGGGGCACAAAAGCCACTTTAGAGCACAGCACCTGCAGTTGGAATTTCCAGCCAAGAGCTCGGCAGGATCCGAGGCCATCAAATTGGAGCAGCCTGGGAGGGAAACACTGAAGGAAAAGGTGTAGGATTGGACAGGGCACTCCCTGCTGGGTTAGGAACTGGTTGATGGGGAATGGAGCTGCATCCAGCTGGGGTCTGGTCACCAGGGGTGTCCCCAGGGATCAGGGCTGGGCCCAGTCCTGTTTAATCTTTACTGCTGGTCTGGATGAGGGGATGGTTCCACCATCAGCAGATCTGCAGGTGACCCCAAGCTGGGGGCAGTGTGGATGTGCTGGAAGGCAGGAGGGCTCTGCAGAGGGACCTGGCCAGGCTGGATCCATGGGCTGATCCCAACGGGATGAGGTTCCCCAAGGCCCTTGGGCCACAACAACCCCCTGCAGCTCCAGGCTGGGCCAGAGGGGCTGGAGAGCAGCCAGGCAGGAAGGGAGCTGGGAGTTGGGATGGCCAGGAAGCTGAACAGGAGCCAGAGGGGGCCCAGGGGGCCCAGAAGGCCGATGGCTCATGGCCTGGAACAGGACGCTGAGGTGGGGTCTGAAGTGTGGCACCTGGTTATCCTCCAGGTTGATGGTCTCCAGCAGATCATGTCCCTGCAAGCCTCGTAAACTGGTGATTTTATTGCTGGACAGGTCGAGCTTCTGCAGAGTTTTCAAGCTCTCCAGCCCAGTTGCCTTCTCGATCTGGTTGGAGCTCTGAGAAATGAAAGCACAGAGATTGTTCCTCAAGTTTTACAGGTGGAAAACAACATTCCCGAGTTGGTTTTGTCGTCACAACCTCTGCATTATTAATTAAAATATTTAAAAGCTTTGCCTGTGTTTCTGCACAACCTCTGTGTTATTAATTAAAATAATTTTTGCTTGTGTTTTTGCACAACCTCTGCATTATTACTAAAAAATAATGTTTTGCTTGTGTTTCTGCACAACCTCTGCTTTATTAATTAAAATATTAAAAAGTTGTGGTTGATTTTCTGCGCAACCTCTCTGTTATTAATTAAAAATATTACAAGTAAGTTTTGCTTGTGTTTGTGCACAACCTCTGCACTATTAACTAAAAACACCTCCTGTATCACAAACACCTCTGATAATTTTGTAGGTAATTCCCCTCCCCTTTCTGATTACATGAATATATTTCTAAATCCAGCCAGGAATTATCAGGACTCCCCATTTCCGATTTCATGACCCCACTGCTAAAATCCACTCAGGAACTCTCAGGACCCCCCCATCTCTCACCAGGTCGAGGCTCCTCAGGGGCAGCTTCTCCAGCCCTCGGATGGCCCTGAGGTTGTTGTGGGCCAAGCTCAGGTGGCTCAGGCTGTGACAATTCTCCAGGCCTCGGATCTCCTGGATCTTGTTAACTGGGAAAGGCTTCATTTGAGGGAAATAACACAAAACCTCAGCCAGAATTAAGTGGTCAGTTCAAAAACAGAGTTAAATTTTCCTGGAGTGGGGAGCTGGACATCCAGGTTTCAACCCCAGCGGCTCAAAGGGCATCAAACACCAATTATTTAAGTAATAAAAGACTTATTTTATAATTATGTGAGGTTATTTCACTCTAAATTTATCCCTGTTCTATAAGAAAGTGGTGGTTTAAATGAAAATTACAATTAAAAGCAGCAGGACAAGTAAATAACTCCTCAGATTCCTTAAAGAAATGTTTGCCTTGACCACAATCTACCTGAGATGGTCATAAATGGATTTAGTGAGAGGCACCTGAATTTATTTCATTTATTTCATCACCAGAATGTGGTGACTGCTCTTTTGGGGTCTGAAATGAGGCAAGAACAGGCAAAAAAAGGAACAAGAAAAAAAAAAAATCACATTTTAAGCCACGAGCATCACTATGAGCCAGGAAGTTGCTCAGGATTAAATCCTGAATGTTTTAAACCTTTTAATGACTCACTGTGATGTTTGGGCATGTTATTGCCCAAATTTTGTCCCTTTCTCCCTTAAAAATTCAGTTATAAATGAATTTATAAGCTCAGGTGTGTGGGGGGCATCGGGCAGGAAAATAAAAAAAGGTTCAACTTTAAAAAATTCAACTTAAATGTGATAAGAAAAGGGGAGTTCCTGTCAAGGAGAGTGTTAAGGTCACTTTACTATTCTGAATTTGTTTTGTTGTTTTTTTTTTTTAATTCTGGGCTCATTTCCCTCCATTTCAGGGGGTTTTGGTGCGGGGGGGGGGTTATAAAAATGAACATATTTTTGTCCCCATTTCAACAACATCGTCATTAAAAATGCCACTTTTGTCCCGTGGAAGCTTCCAGAAAGGATACAATCCAGGCAGAGCTTGGTGAGGCACCCATAGGCCGACAAATCCTGCATTTTAGGGATCTGATTGTAGGAAAAATCCACTTCCTGAAGCAAAAAAATACAAGGTTTTTTGGTGGATTTTTGCCCAAATAGAAGGTGGGATTTAGGAAAATGGATTGGAATTAAAAAGGTGGAAAATGCAATTTTTTTGGCCACTTTACCCGGAGGTTTTTGGGGGGTTTGAAGGCGAAATAAGAGGTCAGGTGGTTGTGGGAGGCATCCAGGTGCTGTAAATAGGGCATGTGGCTGACACAGGAGAGGTCTGGAAAGCAAACAAAACATCAAACCCTGCCCCGGGGAATTCAGGAATCATCAACTGACAATTACAAAGTGATAATTAATCTGATTAGGTGTCAATTTGGAGCTGCACAGGGAGAAAGGGAGGGTTAAAATGTATAAATCTGAGGGATTTTTAACAAATCCAGTCAGAGAAAATGAAGGATTTTAATCCACATAGAGGAAATACCCAAAGTCTAAATTTAATTTACAGCAACTCAAGGGAAGAAGATCCTGCTATTCCTGGATATTTTGGGAAGAAGATCCAGCCATTGCTGGATATTTTGGGAAGAAGATCCAGCCTCTGCTGGATATTTTCTGGAAGATCAACCCCCCCAGTCCATCCAGTCGATCCCACCCCCAGGAATTTCCTCTGCCCTTTCCTCCCAACCTGTGATTTTGTTGTGGGACAGGTCCAGTTTCTGCAGGTGGATGAATCCCGACAGGATCTGGATGTCCCTCAACCCCCGCCCCTGGAAAAAAGGGAATAAAGGGATTTTTAACAAGCATTGAAGGTGATTGAAGCTGCAAGAGCCATTTTCCCACCTGAAGGATAAGGGAGAATCGTCCAAAAATCTGCCTCTTGATTTTTATTTTATAGTTTTTTTAAACTTTCTTTTTACTTTTTTTTTTTTTTATTATTTTTACTATTTTTTACTAATTTTACAGCCCTGACAAGAAGGAGACAAAAATCTGCCTCTTGATTTTCTTTTATACTTTTTTTTTACCTTTTTTTTCCCACTTTTTTTACTTTTTTTTTTACTATTTTTTACTACTTTATGGTATTTTTACAGCCCTGACATGGAGAGACAAAATCTGCCTCTTGATTATTTTTTTAATACTTTTTTTTACTATTTTTTATTATTTTTACAGCTCTGACAAGGAGAGACAAAAATCTGCCTCTTGATTATTTTTGATACTTTTTTGTACTATTTTTTACTACTTTTACAGCCCTGACAGGGAGAGACAAAAATCTATCTCTGGATTATTTTTTTTTATACTTTTTTAAACTGTTTTTTACTATTTTTACAATACTGAGAAGCACAGACAAAAATCTGCCTCTTGATTTCTTTTTATACTTTTTTTACTATTTTTTACTAATTTGTACTATTTTTTTTAGTATTTTTACAGCCCTGATATGGAGAGACAAAAATCTGCCTCTGGATTATTTTTTTATACTTTTTTTTCCTAATTTTTACTAATTTTGACCATTTTTACAGTCCTAACAGGTAGAGACAAAAATCTGCCTCTGGATTATTTTTTATACTTTTCTTTCCCATTTTTTACAAATTTTTACTATTTGTACAGCCCTGGCAGGCAGAAACAAAAATCTGCCACTGGATTAATTTTTCTATACTGTTTTTTACTTTTTTTTACGAATTTTTACTATTTTTACAGCCCTGACAGGCAGAGACAAAAATCTGCCTCTTGATTATTTTTTATACTTTTTTTTAACTTTTTTTTTTTTTGTATTTTTACAACCTTGACAGGGAGAGACAAAAATCTGCCTCTTGATTATTTTTCTGATGCTTTTTTAACTATTTATGTTATTTTTTACTATTTTTTATCATTTTTACAGCCCTGATAGGGAGAGACAAAAATCTGCCTCTTGATTACTTTTTATATGTTTTTTTACTGTTTTTTACTAATTTTACAGCCCTGACAAGCAGAGACAAAAATCTGCCTCTTGAATATTTTTTATACTTTTTTCTTACCCTTTTTTATTATTTTTTACTATTTCTTTCTATTTTTTACCATTTTTTACCATTTTTACAGCCCTGACAAGCAGAGACAAAAATCCACCTCTGGATTATTTAGTTTTTGATCCTTTTCTTTACTCTTTACTCTTTGCTGTTAAAAAGAAGACATTTTTTGAACAGAGAAGGCCTTAAAAGTGACTTATTTATTTTTGTGGCTTTGTACTTACTGCGAGGCCCAGCTGGAGATAAACGAACTCCAGGCCGGGGGCTGAGCGGCCCAGCGTGTGCAGCCCCTCAGCTGCGGTGTCCTCATCCAAAACCCCTTCCGAGGCACCCTAAAAACACCAGGAAAAGGAGGGACAGGGATGGGAATGGCTCAAGGGCAGATCCAGGGAGTGCAATTCCACACTGGGAAGAGTTTGGGATGCGACAGAGCTTAAGAAAAATCCTGCAGCAAAGGCCGCCCTCAGCGCTTCAACACCTCCCCGAGGCACGAGAAAGCAGGGAAAATGACAAATACAGCCCAAAAAATGGTAAATAAGGAATACAGCCCCAAAAAATGTGAAATAAAAACATGGCATATATCAGTTTTATACATTGAAAAAGTTTCAGCAGGTTTTCTGTGGGGATTTTTACTTTTTTACCTCATGGATTAAACACACAGCTCTACACAGGCCCCACTCCCAGAGATGCTGAGCATCCTAAGGCACCAAAAACGAGGAAAAATGGGAAATACAGCCCCAAAAAATGTGAAATAAAAACATGGTAGATACCAGTTTTGTACATTTAAAAAGTTTCAGTAGGTTTTATGTGGGGATTTTTACTTTTTTACCTCATGGGTTAAACAAAGTTCCACACAGACCCCATTCTCAGAGATGTTGAGCATCCTAAGGCACCAAAATCAGGAAAAATGAGGGATACAGTCCCAAAAAAGGTAAATAAAAATATGGCATATACCAGTTTTATACATTTAAAAAGTTTCAGCAGGTTTTCTGTGGTTATTTTTACCTCATGGATTAAACACACATCTCTACACAGGCCCCATTCCCAGAGATGTTGAGCATCTTAAGGCACCAAAAATGAGGAAAAATAGGGAATATAGCCCCCAAAAATGTTAAATAAAACCATGCTATTTACCAGTTCTATCCATTTTAAAAGTTTCAGCAGGTTTTCTGTGGGGATTTTTACTTTTTTACCTCATGGATTAAACACACAGCTCTACACATGCCCTGTTCCCAGAGATGTTGAGCATACTAAGGCACTAAAAAGCAGGAAAAATGAGGGATACAGCCCAAAAAATGTGAAATAAAAACATGGCATACACCAGTTTTATACATTGAAAAAGTTTCAGCAGGTTTTCTGTGGGGATTTTTACTTTTTTACCTCATGGATTAAACACAGAGCTCTACACAGGCCCTGTTCCTAGAGGTGCTGAGCATCCTAAGGGACTAAAACCAGGAAAAATGAGGAATACACCCCCAAAAAAGGTAAATAAAACCATGCCATGTGCCAGTTCTGTACATTTAAAAAGGTCCAGCAGGTTTTCTGTGGTTATTTTTACTTTTTTTACCTGCTGGGTTAAACAGAGCTCTACACATTGCCAGAGATGCTGAGCATCTTAAGGCACCAGAAACCAGGAAAAACGAGGATTACAGCTCAAAAAATGTTAAATAAAACCATGCTATTTACCAGTTCTATATATTTAAAAAGTTTCAGAAGGTTTTCTGTGGTTATTTTTCCTTTTTTTACCTCCGTCTTTAAACGGAGCCCTCCACAAACCCCATTCCCAGAGATGTTAAACCACGACATTCCCATTAAAATCCCAGCAAACCAGCACCAACCCAACTCCCAGAGCTGCTCTTGGGAGAGGAATCTCGGCAAAAAAAAAGGCATTTTGAGAGATGGCACTGAGGAGCCTCTGTGCAGGTTTAATGAGAAAATAAACCAATGGCTTGTGAAATTCCAAAAAAAACCTGGAGGAGCCACCCAGCAATTGTTAATCCAGGGACAAAGATAAATCATGTGGCCATCTAAGTTCAAAATGAATCATGTGGCCATCTAAATTCAAGATAAATCATGTGGCCATCTCAATTCAAGATAAATCAGGTGATCATCTAAATTCAAGATAAATCATGTGATTTATCATCAAAATTACAGCACCTCCATATTATAGCAGCTTATCATATATTTACAGGTGAAATACGAGGTGATGTTGATGTTGCTGAGGGCACTTCAGAGCCCAGCACACCAGGGTTTAAAAATTCCCTTGGGTCCAGAGGCTGCTGGAGTTTCAGGGAAATTCAGGGAATTTGAACAGGAGAAAGGGGCTTAATTTGGCCATATACGTGCCAGCTTATCCTTAATGTTTGCATAGCAAGGAAAACTGGCAGTGCTGGGTTAACTGGATTATTTTAGAGGCTTTTTCCAATCTAAATGATTCTGTGAAGGGGGAGGGGGGGGGGAGACACAATTCAGGAGTACCTTGGACACCACGAGACCCTCAAGAAGGTAGAAATGAGAGGTGAGAGGACACAGTCCGCTCGCTCCCCCTTCTTTCCCCTAAATCTCCACCGAGCGATGAGGAGGCAAAGAGCTGTCCCCTCACGAGCACGCCCCTCCCCAGCCAGCCGGGCAGCCCTGAGCTGAACCTCTGAGCGCTGCGACTCCTCTTCCCCTTCGCCCTCCTCCTTCTCCTCCTCACGGTTCTCCCGCCGCGGCTGCTCCTCGGGGCGCCCCCGAGCAGGGGGAAGGCGCTCCCCGCGGCCGCCCCCTGGGCCGTTCTCCTCGCCCCCCGCCATGAGGTGTGGTAAGGCAGGAGGAGGCGGAGGGGCCGCGCTATCGCTGCCGTCCCTCCTCAGGCCCGGCCGCCGCCATCTTGTTTACTGCCCCGTTGCCATGGGGATGGCGAAGCGCCGCTCCCCCTCAGGGGAGCCCGAGCAGCCAAGAGAAAGTCTGAGTGACCTGGGAGTGTCCGCCGGGCATAGAATCACAGAATCAGAGAATTAACCGGGTTGGAGGAGACCTCCGAGATCATCCAGTCCAACCCTTGATCCCACCCCGCTGGGATTGCCGCATCCAGCCTTGTCTGAAACACCTCCAGGGACTGTGAATACACCCCCTCTCTGGGCAGCTCATTCCAATGGCTGAACTTCTTTCTAATATCCAACCTAAACCTCCTCTGGCACAGCTTAAGCCCGTGCCCTCTTGTCCTGCTGCTGATTTCCTGGGAGAAGAGATCGACACCCCCCTGGCTCCCCCCTCCTGGCAGGAGCTGCAGAGAGTGCTGAGTCTCCCCTGAGCCTCCTCCTGTCCAGGCTGAGCCCCCCCAGCTCCCTCAGCCTCTCCTCACAGCACTTGTGCTCCAGTCCCTTCCCCAGCCTCGCTGCTCTTCTCTGTCCCTGCTCCAGCCCCTCCATGTCCTTGCTGAGCTGAAGGCCCAGAGCTGGACACAACACTCAAGGTGTGGCCTCACCAATGCAGAGTACAGGGGAAGGATCCCTGCCCTGCTCCTGCTGCCACACTGTTCTTGATCCAGGCCAGGATCCATCGGCCTTCTTGGCCCCCTGGGCACCCTCTGGCTCCTGTTCATCCTCCTGTCAGTCAGCACCCCCAGCTCCCTTCCTGCCTGGCTGCTCTCCAGCCCCTCTGGCCCAGCCTGGAGCTGCAGGGGGTTGTTGTGGACAAAGTGCAGGACCTGCCTTTGGCCTTGGGGAGCCTCATCCCGTTGGGATCAGCCCATGGATCCAGCCTGGCCAGGTCCCCCTACAGAACCCTGCTGACCCATATAAAAGAGTAGACAGTACAATGGCTCTGTAAACACTGATCTTTGTGCTTTTTTTCAGGTGTTTGTTTGGCCAGACTCTTTTCTGGAGTTTACCAAAGGCTCTGTGTGCCTTTGCCAACCTGTTGTCTATTTCTG